AAAGTCTCAATTTCCTCGTTGTTGTGCTCTGATGTTGGTGCATATATTTGGATGACACCTATGCCAAAAGGTTTTCTCTCTAATTTAGCCACGATGACTCTATCTGACACTCCCCAAAAACCTTTGATGATCTTGCTGTTGCTTCGTCAAATAAAATTCCGACTCCTCTTTCATGGGTTTTTCCTCCTGAATATATAATTGTTTTGGATCCTCTTTTAATCAAGCCTGCCCCCTCCCATCTAGCTTCTGAAATGCCTAACATATTTTGCTTCATCCTATTGCAAGCTAAAAATTTGATCCAAGTTTCCGCGAGCCTATCTACATGTACTACACTAATAGAAGTAGAGTCTACGGTAACTCAATGAAAGAATGGGTATCGAAATTGTTGTCTCCGTCTATTGTGTAGCAAGTCCTGGTGCTTCACGAAGTAATTAGAAATCTTTAAACCTTCTCAGATTGTGATTGTGAGCACAGTGAGTTTTTAGTATTGTTTCACTCTATTGCAGCTTTTGTGTGGTTTCATCTAGAAACAGTTGTAACTATCGATAGATGTAGATTACGGGATATCCTGCAGATTCTAATTGATTTTCTCTAGAAATCTTAATAGTAGCTACCAAGCATATTGCCCATTTTGCTCACTTTTCAGTTATGCACCACCTTGTCTGCAACCCACGCGATGCCAATGAATCACACTGTCTCCATCCGTGCTGTCCTCATCGGTCATTACGTTACAATTGTGGCTCAACGTGAATATATTAATAATATGTATTTACAGAGTCAAAATCATTCTGCATCATTGTGAATCATTAAGACCTCAAGGACAGAGTAAAAGTTCCAATAAATCTGGAGAGTTCTTATTTTGCAAAATTTAGTTTTAACGGTTCTATCAACACTTTAACAACATTTTAAAGTTATTTAAGAGAGGGGACCTTCGAACTCAAGGGCTATCTCTTATATGACAAAGAACCCCCCCCCCCCCCTTAAAAAATAAATTCAAGCGTAAAACGAACTGAGAAAACAGCACACCCATGGTAAGCTGAATAGTTTCAGCACCTGTTCTTCAAGTATTATTAGGATGTTAAAATGCATGTGACGGAAGACTTTCCCTCAAGTATGTATGTTGGTGTTTGCATGTGGATTTAGTGCTAGTCGGCCGAGAGGGGGGGAGGGCATCATTGACCTTTATAAAAAAAATACAAGTAACGAGGAAAAATATAATTTTGTTATTTTAATCGAAACTAATTAATAAACCAAAGCTTTAAAAATACACTCATTGAAAAAGAAACTATGACTAAAAGGACATAAATAGAAGATATTCTTTCGTTATAATCATGAAAATAAACACCAAAAATGTGCCCGAAAAGTGTAATAACTTTTGTGAGGCTGTTGTCGTGCTAGGCAGGGTGTTTCACTTGTGGTTGCCCTCTAGGAAAAAGGTCATAATTCTGGAAAAACTGATTCTTTGATTTCTAAGCAGATACAGTGTACTATTATTTTGTACTGAAAACTTTTGTTCCAATTATTGTAACATTCTTACAGCTAAGGTAAAACTGTACCATTCATTAATGGAACACTATGCAGGAATGGGTGAGTCAAATTAGACCTAAGATGCACACGCAGGTTATAAAAACAGCAACATAATGTTTGGTTGTTTCCCGTAGGTTATGCGATAAACTGGGAGTGTAACGAAAGACAGATCATGGTAATGAGGTATTTAGGATTGTACCAAAAATATGGTTGATTACAGATACAGGGGACACCACTTAATTTAGTGAAAGTTTAGTCAGTACAAAGGTGCATGTAAAGGTGCGCAACTAGGTTGTGAAAACATGTGTTGGTTGTTACAACTATACAAAAAGAAATATTAATAGATTATATCTAAAACTGGGTTTATTGACCGACATAATATTATCAAGGTACTAAAGTAGTATGTTTATACAAAAGGCTGCTTCCAGCAATTAAGAACACCCCTAGTGTTGGATAGAGTTTACCCTTTTCAAAGGTGCTTATAAAGATGCACACGTAGACTGTAAAAGCACGCACATATTCTACACCACCACAATAGAAACTTTGATAAATTTTGGTATCACTTGATATGGTAGCAATTTGGGAAGGTGACACATCATAAAAATAAACAGGTTTATTAGAAAGGCATAAAAAACAATTGGCAGAGACCTAAGTAGCTTTGAATATCTGCTCAAGACAAACGTTCTAAAAAAAGGCGGAAATAATGCTCAGTGACCATAGCCACCCACTGACATTGGAATTTCAACTATTGACCCGCAGTAAATGATATATTTCCCAAACAGCAAGAACAGACATATAGAAATTCATTCGCACCAACTGCAGTGAGGTTACTGAACACACAGTGCTACAAATGAAACACACAGAGAGAGGGAGAGGGAGAGAGAGAGA